GAAAAGAAAAAGGCTCAAACGGATGGAGACCCCTATGGTGGTGCTGCTTTTTGTTGTTTGCGCCCAATGGGCCAATAAAGAAAGAAGATTCGGCCATTACGCCAGGGTGCTGATTGAGGTACTGCCTCGTGCGGTTGTTTTTTGCGGTGGTGATGGGTGAGGTGACTGGGGAAACACTGGGCAAGAAATGTGACTTGAAATCCTGAATTGCGCTTTCAGAATGTCTGGATGGCTGTTGCCCCGAGCTACAACAATTCCCTGCATTGAAGAATAGTTATTTTTTATTTTTGTGCCTGCGACGTCTTCGTGCTGAACTGAATTTTCTTTTTTTATTCGCGGGTGTCGATAGGACAGTTTAAAATATGTTTGTTGTTTTCGGGCATGTAGGATGTCTGGTGACTGTGCTTTTTTTTTGGGGGGGGGGGGGGTTTACATGAGAGGAATGGGGACTGAGCGGTGCGGGATATGTGGTGGGTGCCGCAGGCTTGTTGGCCCGCGATTTGGGTGCCCTCCAAAATTCATTACATTTTGGGCTCCTCAACGAACACTTTTATTCTTTATGGAATCATGTGGTATTACAGATGGCACCCTGGACTGTTGTGTTTCGCCATCCTTTTTTTTTTTCACGGGATGTATGAGAGCTTTGCATGCTGCGGCGAGAACTGCATTTGTTACTGTGCCATTGGTCTCTTTTTTTTATTTTAGCCATTTTTCGCTTTTGTTGCTTATTTTATTTCTGGTCATGTTGGGACTCCTGCGTGCTCCGTGCCTCCACTTCACTCACCAAATGGAGGTGCATGGCCATTGCGCTGGAAGGAATCTTTTTTTTTACACATTGACACGGAGCCATTCCTGCGCACCTTCTTTTTCTGTTTTACTTTTTTTGCTTTCTTTCAGGAGATGCTCCCTTGGCCTTGTCTCCAACGGGGTATGCGCAGAGTTACACGCAGTTTAAAAAACGGAGCCACGAGCCTTTTTTGGAAAGGATGCTTTATCTTTCTTCTAATATCTTTTTTTTTGTTCATGCTGATATATATGTATACTTGTTTAGAGGTGGAACCTCTGTTTGGTGACGATTCCGCTCATGATGTTGAAGTTGATCCGACCAGGGCGGACTATATCCACTGCGTCGGGGAAAGGCTTCTGGTGGACCCAAAGACACGGTGGATGGGGGGAAATAACGGGACGGACGTTATCCCGTTGATGGTGGTCCCGCTGATGCTCGATCTGATGGACTTTCGGAGGATGATGTGCAACATCAGTGTGCCCATCCGGCTGTTGGTTTTGGTGCAGAACGGGCGGGAGGCGATGCTGTCGTTGTACCTGCAGGAACTCGAGAGGGTCTATGGGTGGTCCGGACGGCTGATTGTGAGTCGTCACCCGGAAAACATCGGGTACAGCGCTGCCGTGAACATCGGGTTACGACTTGCACTCTCGCTGCCGCGCGAGGAGGTGCCTTTTGTTTTTGTGACAAACAGCGACGTAATGTTTTCACCCGATCTTCTTCCCAACCTTCTACGCGATGTGCATGAAATGACGAGGCATGATGCCGCTCGCATGGATGAATTGGCGGCGGAAGTGGCGAATGAGCCGAGCGAGTACAGTCCCGTTTTGCGACGGGGCTTGAGGGTGCTGCGCTCCACGGTGAACGATAGCCGATTGTCGACGTCCGCGCTGCTGCCTGACCGCATTCGTTATGCCTCTGCGAAGGAGCGTGAAAAGGCGTTTTCGAAGCATTACGGGCACTTCTGCGCGTATTACAAAAGCAGTTGTTTTACATCTGTTATGTTGACACGCCTGGCGATAAGCACGGTGGGATACTTTGACGAGAACTTCTACCCAGCTTACGTGGAGGATGTCGACTACAGCTTGCGTCTCCGTTTGCTTGGATTTCAGGAGCGGAATGTTTTATACGGCAAATTTGTGCATCGCGGCAGCTCGAATATTCGTCTCTCGGAGCAACTGGAGCTACCGGACGCTCTCTGGTACCGTCGCGTCAAGTCTTTGATGACGAACCAACCATATGCCAAGATGAAGTGGAACGGTCTAAAAGCATGCTGCGATGGGTACAAGGAGCCATATGACGGCATGGTCCCCCTAGACGTTTGGGTGAAGGATGAGGCACGCATACAGCGCATTCGGGCCTACGGGCATGATGAGATCCGAAGAGTTCCAAGTATTGACTACGACAGGAGGCTTTTGTACCCTGTGAGGACTAAAGGAAGATGATTCGGCAACAAACACAAGTTTTGCTTTCTTATTTTGTTTTGCCTTAATTTTTAGAAATTTACACCTCTGTTTGGTTATTTACACGATTAATATTTAAGCGAGTACGCCGTGGATTTTAAAGAGCGCAAACGTATATTTGACATGACAGGGGAGGGGAGGGCGCAGCGTCCAAACTTGGCAGTGCTGCCGAGGGCAGGAGAGGGAAGTAGAAAGTAAGAAACGTGAAGATGATGGATGAGGGAGAAATAAAAGGGGAGGGAAGCAGAAAACAAGCCAAAAATATTGTGAGCACAACGCTGTTTCTTTTCGTGGGCGATCGACACCGCCATTGGCTACTAAGTTGCCCACTGAAGGTGACACCCATTTCCGCTGGATATGCTGCGTGCACATCTGTCGGGCTCTTTGTTCTGTTGTTTTGTTTGTCTCCCGCACATTTATTTCTCCGTGCCGCCTGACTCACTCGTTTATTATTCCCCTCCCTGTTTTTGTGCGTGCACCGAGAGAAGGGATGAGGGACATGAAGTGCGCTCCCCTTCTGTGACATGCCACCGAAAACGGGAGGAGAAAAAAAGAAAAGTGAAGCGGGGAGGGGAGCCATCGCCACGCGTCCTTTTCTCCGAGAAGGCTGCTCGCCACGCCACTGAGGCGCGCCGTGTGCTTCACGAGGCCCGCTGGACTCGATTGGGGAGCCGTGAATGATGATGCGTGAGAGTGTGGCGGATGCGTCTCCCAGGCGTCCCTAGAGGACCCTCTGGCCATTGGGACTGCGTGGAATGCGGGATTCCACGGGGCCCTTTGCACGTTTTGTTTTTATTTTTTTATCCACCCCTCCCAAACCTCAACACGGCGACTGAGCCAACGACTGCGACGGGATCCGTTGCGTATTTCTGAATCTTTTTTGCGTTGCAGCGGCAGGCCTGGTGTGTCCTGCTCGGCAGACACAATGGACGGAAGTGGGCTGCCCTATCGGGAAAACGATGGTCCCGGCGGAGCGTGTTGCGTACTTCGCAATTTGGCGTGTTTGTGGCGATCCTTGCGGATGATGTGACGGGGTCTCTTTTACTTACAGGGATAGAAGCGATGCTCCACGGTGATGCACACGTTGCGTGTGGAGGCTTCTCTTGCTGTTGGTTTGTGAACATTTCTTCTTTCGCTTTTGCTGAAACACCACAGAGGGCGGTGTCTGCGGACAGCAGAGCATTGCGAGGAGGGGCACCACACGATTTTTGGCTTGACGAGGCGGCTTTTATGACTTTACGGTGTTTATTTTCAGGCTTGAGAGACCATCCTTTGCTGGAATGTATTGTGGGAGACCATACGCGTGTTTGTTTTTCTTAGTCAATCCCTTGGCACTTGGTGTCTGCCGTGAAATGGATGTTGATGGCCGTTTTATGGCGGCGAGATGCATTTTTATGTATTTAATTGGCGAGTGGGTGAATTGTGTTGCGTTCTGCCATGCGGCTTGTTGCTGAGGGCGAGTGGCCGCAGGGAGACGTTATGAGCGCCTCCGACACGAGGGGCGATTGAGCAGTCATCTCCACCGCTCGCCGGTACACGCTGTTGAGGTGGCGTGGTGGTAATGAATCGGCCTCTCAGAAAAGGAACGAGAGGACGTTTGTTCTTCCTGCTGCGGTGTACGAGTGAGCCTCCAATCCGTGGGCGGGGTCGCTCTGCGTGCCGTATTTCTTTGAATTTCCGTGAGTTTTTACATGGCCATCCACACGCACATGCACGCAATCCCCCTGTTTGCCCTCCTGTGGGCGGGAGACCGGGATGCAAGGGAAAAATGTGGCCTGTGCCAGCATGTGGCAAAGTCTTTCTTGGGAGGGGTTGCGACTGTGATGTACGTCCTGGCAGGCAGGAATGGGATGGGCGAAGAGCAGAGGGGCGAGTAACAACGATCGTGTGCGGGGCAATGCGCAGTGAGTAGGGCGGAGTGGTATTTGTGTTGACTTTTCAAAGCATTTTTGTCTTTTTTCTTTTGTTGCAATGGAAAGAAACTTTGGGTGGTGTGTTGTGGATTATTTGCAGGTGATTCCTCGCGGCAACACCATTTGCGGAGAAAATGAATGGCATCTGCGTGCGGCTTGTTTTTTGAGCGCGAGATGGTCGGGGAGGTGCTCAACGCCCCGAGAGGCCAGGAGCAAGGAGGCCTGCACTGCTGCAAGCAGAGGGATGCACGCTCCTCCTGTTGGTGGCGTTGCTGTGGGGCCCTGAATGGCCTGCAGGGAAGTTGTTTTTTCCCGCTTCATTATTTTGTTGATTGGTGCCTGCCGCGGCCTTTTGAGGCGGGACGTGGGATGGACCGAGAGAGCGTGTGTTGTGCGGCGGTGCTGTGAATTGGTGCTGCCCACGTTTGTGCACATATTTCCTTTTGTGTCCGCGTCGTTGCTGCGGCAGTGCACTGGGAGCGTGTGACCGATCACTGTATCACTTGCGGACTGTTTCGGCAGGACTTTGAATGGCGTCGCCGAGTGATGAAATTCCGCGTCCATGTGTATGTGTGTGTTCCGCCGTTTTTTTTTTCTGTGTGCAATTGTTTTCCATGCTGTTCCTTCTGTGTTCTCTCGAGCCCTGCACTTTGCGTGGCTGCTCTGCTCTGCTCCTCACTGACGTGTCTGATGTATTACTACTGTTGCTGCTGTACTCTCCACTTCTTGGACAAAGACACGCTAGGAAAGAAAGCAAACAAGCAATAAACGCTACTGTGAAGTTGTAAGGCACTGAAGGGACAAACAGCACACAGACCGCCCACACACACACATATTTGTATGCTCTCACGTGTTGCTGCAGTCATGGCACCCCGCACACACAACCGTCGCCGCGTGACCGGATCCAGCGGGAGGAGGAGGGAAGGAAGAGAGAGTGAGCCGCAGAGGCCCAACATGTCCCGGCTTTACTTCTATTCCGCGGTGCTTCTACTTGTTTTGTTGATGTGCTGCGGCAGTGGAGCTGCAGCCGCTGGGGGCAGTAAAACAAGGAATACCATTGATCCGTTTACAGGGACGACGTCGATATCATTTGCCAATTGGAAGGAGTTTAACGGGGACGGAAGCAAAATCACCTCGCTCCGCGTTCCTGGCCTCGTTAAAGTGGGTGATGATGTATTTGTCGTTTCTGAGGCGCAGTGCGGGGAAAAGAACGGAGCCGGCAGCTGTGCTGGGATTGTGTCAAAGCACCTGAATATAAGTGGTTACTCAATGGATATTTCTACGTCGGATGTAAGTTTGTTTCGCATGCAACTTGTGGACACCGCCGCGAGTAGTTTTGAGACAACGGAAGTGTTGCGGCCAACGACAGTTGTAATTGGGAACAGCGTCTACATGCTGGTGGGGAAATACAGCCATACAGAGAAGCAGGTTGAAGGTACGAATGAGCGGGGTCTTTTACTCGTGAAGGGAACTGTCTCTGATGAGGGTGGAATGAAGAAAATCAGATGGAATGAGACACATGTGGTGAAGCCTCAAGGCAAAGGAGAATCTCTTTCCTTGACCGAGTTAATTGGCGGTGGGGGACCGGGTGCTGTGATGCGTGACGGCTCGCTTGTGTTTCCCATGCAGGCCAAAAACAAGGATGGACAGCGCGTTTTGCTCTCTATGCGTCTCTCCAAGTCAGGGAACAAATGGGAGCTTCCGCAAAAAACGCCTGGTAACGGCTGCAGGGATCCAACCCTGGTGAAGTGGGAAAAATGCGAATACGGCGAAAGACTCTTCATGATGGCTCATTGTTCTGGAGGCTACTATGACGTTTACAGTTCCACTGAGGATGGGTACAATTGGTACGGACACTTCCAACCAATTACCCGCGTGTGGGGCAACTCACACAATCGAAAGGGGTACGGCGTCCAGAGTGGATCCACGACGGCAATCATTGGGGAAAAGGAGGTGATGCTCATCACCGCGCCGGTGTATGCAAAGGAGGACAATGGAAAGGGTCGGCTCCATCTTTGGGTGACGGACAAGGCACGTGTGTATGATGCTGGACCGGTATCTCGTAAAGATGATGACGCTGCCGCGAGCTCGCTGTTGATAAAAGATAATAATAAGGAGTTGATTTCACTGTACGAGAACAAGAAAGACGGAGCATACAATCTTGTTGCTGTGCGTCTGACCGAGAAACTGGAGCGGATAAAGGAAGTTGTGAAGACATGGAAGGATTTGGACAGCGCCTTGAAAACATGCCGTTCCGTTTCCAGCGGCACTGTTGACTTGCCAAGGAAGGGTATGTGCAATGGTCGTGTTCCCACTGATAGGCTTGTTGGCTTTTTGTCCGGTAACTCAACTGGGACCGAGTGGAGGGACGAGTACCTCGGCGTGAACGCAACAGTGACGAATGGGGAGCCAAGGGTTCGCAATGGACTGACGTTCAAAGGACCCGGAGCGTGGGCGGAGTGGCCTGTTGGCGACATGGGGCAGACTGTGCCGTACTACTTTGCGAACACTGAGTTCACTCTTGTGGCGACGGTGTCCATCCACGAGGTGCCGCAGAGTGGCAGCAGCCCCATTCCTTTGATTGGCGTGAGGATGAATGACACCGACAGCACGGTCCTCTTTGGTCTGTCGTACACCCATGACAAGAAGTGGTTGGCCACACCGGAGGATGCTGGTAATGTGGAGGATTTTCTTGATGAGTGGGAGGATGTTGATGATGCGGGGGATGTTGATTTGTGGGAGCCTAACAGGACGTATCAGGTGGTACTGCGAATGGATGATAAAGAATGGAGTGTCTTTGTAGATGGAAAGGAAATCCACAACACGAAATATAATACGAGTCTGTTTGACTTCCACAGGATCTCACACTTCTACATCGGTGGGGACAGTAAGGACCGAAGTGCAACGGGCGGCCACGTGACGGTGACCAACGTCATGCTGTACAACGAGGAGCTGTTGGAAGGTGATCTGCATAAACTCAATGCCGGCAAAGTCACCATTCCATCACTGGGTGTTGAGGAACAACCCACAGGTCAGGTGACCAGCACAGACGTCTCAGTTGCTTCCGAGTCAAAGAGTGAAGAAAGCGCCGCCAGCTATGAGGAATTGACTGAGGATGATACTGATGAACAAGAGGAAGGAATCGTCAATGGTCCGGTGCCTGCTGCGCCCTCTTCCACGCTTGTCGCGGGAGCCTCTATTTCTGAATCCGCCATAGCAGCGCAGAGCGCAGAGAATTCTTTTTCAGAGGACAATGCCCAGCCTTCCGAAGGCGAAACGTCTTGGCAAACCACGCTGAATGAAGCGAAGGAATCGATGCAACGTGATTCAGATGTGCAGCCACAAGACCTACAGTCAGAGAAATTAACGGTGTTCAGTGATGTTGAAAAATCCTCTGAAAGTAATGATACAGAAGAGCCAGAGGAGGATGGAGGAACGAATGACCGGAGTGGCGGAACAACGTCTCCAGTAGCTGCGTCGTTGAGTATGGAAACGGTCGCTGCATCAGTGAACGGTGAGCACCAAGTGCAACAAAGCATTGAGCTTTCCGCTGAAAACGACGACGTGCGGTCCACTGGAACCGGAAATACCGGCGCGGAGGAAAGCCTCATCCTCGAGGCGAGGGACGGAAATTCCGAGAGAACAATGGGCTCAGACAGCAGCCTCACTCCTTCAAGGAGTGACGCCGAACCGACATCCGCGGGGAACACCGGCGACGTCTCTCGGACTGAAGGAGACGAGGTCTCTTCTGAAAACGGCGAGGAGGTGCCACAGACGGGCGACACCGCACCGGAGAATACAAACACCACGCCTGGGGAAACCGCAATCCCATCGGAGTCCAACGCAACAACACCCTCGGACACTGAAATTTTGCTTGAGAAAGAGCATTTGGGCGAGTTGGCGGGCATGTACCTAATTGGTGACAGCACCGTGCATGGGTGTGTGTCTCGGGTGTTGTTGCTGCTGCTTCTGGGACTGTGGGGCGCTGCGGCTCTCTGCTGAGGTGTGAGGGAGGGTGGAATTGCGGCTTTTCGTGGAACAACAACTGAGCAGCATCCCAGCATTGAACACTGAATTTTGTTGATTCCATTTTCTTTTTTTTCTTACTTTCTTTATTTTTGTTTTCTTTTTTGTAAATCACTTCCTTTCTTTTTCTTTTGGGGCAATCACTATGGACGTTTTTTGTTTCTTTTCTATTCTTCCCTCTTTTAATTGTTTGTTGCTGCACTCTTCGTGTGAGGGGTGCCGTGTGTTTCCCGCCCAACCGCTCCACTCGCACACCCACCGACACGCTCATGACGACGGCCCTGTGCGCCTCGCCTGCTGCACGCATGAGGAGGGGCCGCGACGAACGGCGCGCTGAGGGAGCCGTGACGTGTGGGCGTGCGACGAGGGCCTGTGGGGCGGAGCACACATTTCTTCCCATCTTGTTTTGTTTTCTTTGCGGTCAGGGCGGGCAGACACCCGCAGCGCCACACACACAGCCACTCCCTGCCGCTTTTAAAAAATAATTTTGCTTTCTCTCTTTGACTTTCTTCTGTGTGTTTGTTTTTGCGCTGGCGCACCCTTCGGTGTCGGCCTCGTGAGCATTTCTCTCCCCTCCGATGATTTTTCTTTTCTTTTGCTGCGCTCGCTCTCCCGATGGAGTGACGCGACCGCCGTCATGTCTGCATGCTTCTCTCAGTCACACACACACGAGTGACTGTGCTCTGCGGGCCGCACTCACGCACCAATAAAAGGACTGAGGGGAGCAGCAACACGCGGATGACCCCATGAAATATAAACGATGTGCGGACACACGGAGGGTCGGACGGTTGAAAGGCATGCAAGTATTTAATTTTCTTTTTGGGCAAAATAAAAAAACAGTTTGGTATGGTCACACGGTAACCGGGTGAAATTTTTTTTGTGTGGCTTTTCTTTTTCTTTTTCTTTTTCTTTATTATTTGGGTGCGGCCGTAATAGAGGACGACATTTTTCAATTTTTTTTTCTTTTTTTTTTCATTTTTTCTTTTTTTTCAAGGTGTGAGGTGCGGAAGGGTGAAGATGGATTTTTTTAAATTATTTTTGATTTTTTATGAATTGCCGCTGCTTGGTCCGCAGTGCGGTTATGAGTTTGAGCAGTCCTGTTATTTTTGCCATGCACTTTTGCTGTACAGTTTTTTTTTTGTGTCTCTTTGAATGCTCCGCTCCTCTTTTTTACTTTTTTGACTTGTGCTGCTGCAGGCAAACACACAGACACACAAAACACACATTGCAGTGGATTTGGATGCTACTTTTTTAGTGCGTTCTGGCGGCTGCCGCCTCCTTCTGTGGGCATGAAGCGAGGGGAGGAGAGAGGGAGCACGCACCGCGAGTCACTTTTCCTGCAGGCGTGATGCACCGCCTGTGACCGCTTTGAGTCGGGCACCGAATCCCATTGGGGATGAAATTGCTGGAAATTTTGTCGCCACGTCATGGATGGATGCGGAATAGCTTTTGCGTGTGGCTCTTTGGTTGATTGCCTGCTCCGTGTGCGTTGTGTTTGTTGGCTGCGGGGCCGTGGCTGTATCCCGTTGGCCTTGGGATTGAACTGGAGGCGGTGCCGGTGTGTGCGTTTGTTGTGTGGAGGGCCGAATCTTTTCTTTCGCGGACTGGCGGCGCTGCGATGGTGTGTGTGTGTGTTTGTGTTGCTGCTCTTTTCTGTGGGCGATGGCTCTCCGTGCTGTCGCTTCCGGATTTTCTTGTGTCCCGCTCTCTGCGTGGCTGCTCTGCTCTGCTCTCCGCTGACGTGTCTGATGTCTTACTACTGTTGCTGCTGTACTCTCCACTTACTGAACACAAACACGCTAGGAAAACAAGCGCTAATCGCTACTGTGAAGTTCGAAGGCTCTGAAAGAGCCAACAGCACACAGACCGCCCACACACACACACAAATTTGTATGCTCTCACGTGTTGCTGCTGTGAAGGCACCCCGCACACACAACCTTCGCCGCGTGACCGGATCCAGCGGAGGGAGGAGGGAAGGAAGAGAGAGTGAGCCGCAGAGGCCCAACATTTCCCGGCACGTGTTTAGTTTTGCGGTGCTGCTCCTCCTTTTCGTGTTGGTTTGCTGTGGCAGTGGAGCTGCGGCCGCTGTGGAGAGTAAGGCAGGGGAAGTGCAACTGGCGCAGAAGATCGATATTTTTGTGCCAAAGAGGACGCCGATGGTGTCAAGAGATGGGACTGGTTTGTTTGAAGTGAAGGAAGCGTTTGTCTCACCCTTTCTCGTCCGTGCTGGCGGGTGATGGTTGCCATTGCTGAAGGCGTGTTCGAATATAACATCCATGAAAACAAATTGTTTGGGGTTCGATTTCCCGACATTGTGGCCGGGTACATCAAGGCTGCGGAGACGTGGCCGTCCATTGTTGCTGGGATCACCAAGAAGGAATGGAGGGCACGCACCGTGCTTGGCAGTGGGAATGGCGATAATCGTTTGTGTGTTTTGCACCGGCCCACAGCAGTTGTGAGGGGCAGTGAGGTGTTTCTACTTGTGGGAAGCGATACTTTAGGATATGACAGTAGTGATGGTATTTAGGAGATGGCTGGGACATTCAGCATCTAAACGCCTGAGCCACCAGCAGTAAAAAGTTCCCTCAGGTGATCTTGAGTGTGTTTGGGGATATGTTGTGAAAGGAACTTGGGTTCAGCCCAGCTTATCAGTGTACTCTGCACGCCGTCCGTGGACTGCGTGGCCACACCCTCAACCAGTTGAATGACACGCTTGTGTTTCCCCTGGTGGCGAATGGGAAAAATCACCATTTCTCCATGATCACTTACTCGACGGACAACGGCAACAACTGGGTGTTCCCAGTGGGCATTTTTTTTGTGTAATGCCTTGATCCCGCATCACCGAATGGGAGAATGGACAGATTCTCATGATTGTTCATTGTGTGAATGCCCAGAATGTGTGCGAGTCGCGTGACATGGGGGCAACGTGGACGGAGGCTGCCAGAACACTCCCGGGCATTTGGGTCAGGCCACGATCAGGATTCCGTTGGGACGAAGGCTTGCGTGTGGAAGCCCTCATCACCGCGACCATTGAGGGAAGGTCATGCTTTACACTAAGAGAGGGTACGCCTCGGGGGAAACGCCACTGCGCTCTACCTTTGGGCCACGGACAATAGCCGCACTTTTCATGTTGGAGCGCTTTTTGTGGGGAATGCTATGGGTGAGACGCTTGCCAACGCCCTGCTGTACTCGGATAGTGCGTTGCACCTTTTACAGAAGGGTGTTAATGAAAAAGGCAGTGCCATTCCGCTTGCCCGCCTGACTGAGGAACTGAAGAAGATTAACTCCGTCCTCAGCACTTGGGCACAGATTGACGCCTCCTTTGCCGAGTCGTCCACACCCACGGCTGGTCTGGTTGGATTCCTGTCCAACGCAGCCAGTGAACACAAATTGATCGACGATTAGCGCTGCGTGAATGTAACTGCGAAGAAAGCAGCGAAGGTCAAAAATGGGTTCAAATTCACGGGGCCTGGGTCTGGGGCAACATGGCCTGTGAACGGCCGGGAGGATAATGATCAGTACGGCTTTGCAAACCACGATTTCACTCTTGTGGCGACGGTGATCATCCGCCAGTTAGCGAGTGGGAGCACTTCTCTGCTGGGTGCGGGTCTGGGGGACGGTGCCGGCAGGAAGATTATTGGACTTGTCGTACGGCATGAATAAAGCGTGGGAGCCAGTGTTCGACGGCACAAAAACAGCACCGGGGAGCACGTGGGAGCCGGGGAGAGAATACCATGTGGCGCTCATGCTGCCGGACGGCAAGGGCTGCATGTACGTGGATGGTGAGGTTGTGGGGAGCTCTGCGACGATACCCACACCTTAGACGCAGGGGCATGAAATCACACAATTCTACTTTGAGGGCGACGAGGGAGACATCAACAGCAGCGGTGTGACAGTGACGAGCGTCTTTCTGTACGACCGCCCACTGAGTGACGATGAAATAAAAATGGTTAGGAAAAGGTGGCGCCAAAAAAGGGAAAAGGTGACGGCTCCATGCGTGGGGAAGTGTCGCAGTTGCTGCTGCTGGGGGCTGTGCGGCTTTGCGGCCCCTTGCTGAGAAATTGCAGTGAGGACTTCCCGCTGGAAGCGGGAACATATGCATCTGTCCACGCGCTCTTTTAAATTAGTTGCCACTTTTTGTGAAGACTTTGTTTTTACCATTTTGTTTTACTTTAGACCCTTTTTGCGCTGAGCTCTTTCTTCATGTGGAAGCATGCTCTCCCAGCGCCAGCACCGCTGTTTTTTTTTCTTGTTTTTTCCCGTGTTGTGGTCCTCCGACAATTACGGGATCTACTGAGTTTTTTTCTTTATTACTGATCAGAAACGCTCCCGGCATTGTTTGCCACACGCCGATGGCGCCGGCTAATAAAAGAGAAAATGGAATGGGGACACGAAACCACGCCGAGTGTCCCAGTGGAAAATAAATAATGTGTGGGCACCGGGTGTTTAAACGACTGGAAGGAGTGCAACATATTTGTTTATTTCTTATCTGCAGGCGAAACACACACACCGATTTGGAGGCCACGTAGCAGCGTGCGGTTTTTTCTTGTTTTTTTTTGAGTGAATGCATAATGGAAGACGGATTTATCTTTTTTAAAAAAACTTTTCAGCATGTGTGCCGCGGCTTTTCACAGCGTGGGCAGCCGTGCAGTGTTGCGTTTCAGCAGTCATCCTGTTTGTTTTTTTGTCTGGCACTTTTCTGTAGTTGTGTGTGCCCTCATATGCTTTGCCTTTTTTTTTGTGGTCGTAGACACACACACGAGACAGTTACACGATATATTTATTGCAGTGCAGTTGGTTGCTCCTCTTGCACTCTGTGCTGGCGGTTGCGTGTGGATGCTGCTCCCTCGTTGTGTTTTTTGGGGAGGCGCGCGACGGCGTCCGTGAAGAAGGAAGGCACCGACCGCTGCTGACGGTGACGGTCTTTGCTGCAGGCGATCTGAGGGGATGGCGTGACTGGTGTCACCACCAACCGA